TATAATAATCTACTTTATCTCACTTCACACACACAATAGTCTCAGAGTAACATTAATACCACCACTATCAATGTAATTACTAAGAACAGTTAAAACTCAGTTTTCCCATATGTTCTCCCCATTCTCCCATTTTTACAGTTGTCTGTAGCTACACTGTATGAGCATATGGCCTTTGTGTCCTATATTTTCTGTTTTAACCCTCACTCAGTCTTAGTTCTATGAGTAACCCTTTATTTAATGCTCACACCAGTCCTTAGGTTGATGTTTTTCTAGTCATTTTTATTGTCTTAATTGTGAAAATTTAAGAATATCCATCAAAATTGTATTAGTATGGTTCTCCAAAGAAATACAACCAATAGAATGTGTGTGTGTGTGTGTGTGTGTATTTATTATAAGGAATTGGCTCAGGCAATTATGAAAGCTGAGAAGTCCTAAGATCTGCAGTTGGCAAGCTGAAGACCTAGGGGAGACGATGGTGTAAGTTCCAGTTCAAAGCCAGCAGGCTCAAGTCTCAAGAAAAGCTGATGTTTCCGTTTGAGTCCAAAGGCAGGAAAAGACCAATGTCCCAGCTTAAGGTAGTCAGGCAGGAGGAGCTCCCCCTTACTCTCAGGAGGGTTGGCCATTTTTTCATTCAGACCTTCAACTGATTGGATGTGGCACACCCACATTAGGGAATGTAATCTGCTTTAATCAGTCTACCAATTTAACTGTTAGTCTCATCCCCAAACACCCAGAATAATGTTTGACCAAATAGCTGGGCACAGTGTGGCCCAGGCAAGATGACACACAAAATTACCCATCACAAAAGTAGAGGGCAGGAAGACTTTTTGCTGCCCCTAAAATCAATAAGTCATTCATTCTGCCTGCTAGTTCACAAGGCCAGACCTAGTAATGGTGCTGGTATTATATGAAAGGTTGCCATTTACAGAGCATTACGTGTATTATACCATGTAAATCTCCAAAACAAACCATAGTCTACAGATCCAGAAACTCAGGCTTCGAGAGCTAAAGCAGTTTACCCAATGTCATACAGACAAGTAATGAAGTGGGGATTTGAATACAGATCTCCTTGATTTCCAACCCTGTGCTCTTACCACTATGCTAGATCTCCTGGAAAGAACACAGGCTTATAAGGATAGAACGCGAAGTTTTTTACTCTGTGGCACACAGTTCAGCTGAGTGATATTTACATGTGTTCCAAGCCTCACAGTCTCTTTAAGTATCCTTGGAAAAAAACAGGTTTAAAATAGTAGATAACTGAGAAAAGAATAAACCTGTCATGACCATTTTTTTTTTGGCCATGCTGTGTGGCTTGTGGGATCTTAGTCCCCCAACCAGGGATTGAACCTAGTCCCTTGGCAGTGAACGTGCCGAGTCCTAACCACTGGACTGCCAGGGAATTCCCAAGACCAATTTTTAAATTTGCTTACTACAATTTAAAACTTCAGGAAGCTCATTTCTCCATTTCTAGAGTTCACACAAAATACCAAATAGTGGTATGTGGATTGTAAAAGCTATGATACTTAGAATTAAAGCAAGAGAAAAATAATTTTTGACAAAATATATATATAAAAGAGCATACATAAAATATATGTACAGTTCAAAGAGAAATAAATACTCATGGAGGCATCTTTCTACCTGAATTATATCTACTAATTTCTACTACTTCTGGAAATTAGAAGTAGATGGAAACATTTAGTACATGTGTTTATCTGCAGGAGAGAGTCAAAATTGCAAAGTTGATTTAAGAGCTGGTCTGAACTTCCTAGAGACTTGTCTTTCCCAAAATGGACTCAGAGGAACCCCAGACCTATGAAAAAAGGGATTCTATAGTCAAATAAGTTTGGAAGAGCAGTGCGTATTCCCCTGTCTCCACCTTCCACTCAGATCTACAAGGGACATATTAACATATCAGGAAAAAAAGCCCTGTAGTAATCTTTTAAATCCTGTGTAACACTGGATTTCCCCAACATATTTGACCACCAAAACTTTTCAGGAGGCCTGTTACCACCTGAATGCAACTTGTATTCCCCTGGGGAAATGCCAGCACAGGTGCCCACTGGTGACAGGGGCATGAATGGAAGCTTTCCTGACCAGTGATGCTGATGAGAGCACAGTCTGAATGGTCAAATACCTCTAGACTCCTGAGAAAAGTAGAGGTTCAGGAGTTAGTGGGGAATGGGAACAAAGTCATAGCTACTCTAGTCAAAGAGACGGGCAGAGACGGGAGCTAGCACGAGATGAGCAAATTTGCTTTGCTGCTCCAAGTCAACATTACCTTCAAGTTTGCAACTTAGGTGGTGGTTTCCAGGAAGCCTATGAAAAATAAAGCACAAGATCCTGTTATTTGACTTGTGTTTTAACCGGTAAGAGTCTCTGTCTTAGTTCAGGCTACTGTAACAGAAAACAATAGACCACAGGCTTAAACAACAAACTTTCATTCCTCACAGTTCTGGAGCCTGGGAAGTCCAAGTGCTGGCAGATTTGGTATCTGCTGACGGCCCTTTTCCTGGTTTGCAGATGGCCACCATCTCACTGTGTGCTCACATGGCAGAGAGGGAGAGAGAGAAAACTCTGGTCTCCATCCCATCATGGGGGGCTCCACCCTCATGACCTCACCTAAACCTAATTACCTCCCAAAGGCCCCACTTCCTAATACTATTACATTGGGGATTAGTGCTTCAACACATGAATTTTGAGGGGAGTACAAACATTCAGTCTATAGCAGTCTCATTAGCAATGATTGCATTACCAATTATTGTACAAAACTTTGTTGTCCCATTATGCAACAAAAACAAAAGCAAAAATAGACAAATGGGACTACAGAAAACTTAAAAACTTCTGTGCAGCAAAGGAAACAATCAGTAGAGTAAAAAGGCAACTTACAGAATGTGAGAAAATATTTGCCAAGCATATATCTGATAAAGGGTTAACATCCAGAATATATAAAGAACTCATACAACTCAACAAACAAACAAACAAAAAAACAAATGACCCTTTAAAATGACGAAAGGACTTGAATAGATGTTTCTTCAAAGATGATATACAAATGGTCAACAAGCACATGAAAAGATGCTCAACATCACTAATCATCAGAGAAAGCAAGTCAAAACCACTATGAGATATCATCTCACATCCATTAGGATGGCCAATATGAAAAAGGAAACTCACACAAACAAACAGAAAATAACAAGTGTTGGCAGGGACGTGGAAATACTGGAATGCTTGCACACTGTTGTTGGGATTGTAAAATGGTGCAGCTGCTCTAGGAAACAGTATGGAGGTTCCACAAAAGAATAAAAATAGAACTACCACATGACTCAGCAATCCCACTTCTAGGTATATATCCAAAATAATTTAAAACAGAATCTTGGGACTTCTCTGGTGGTCCAGTGGCTAAGACTCCATGCTCCCAATGCAGGGGGCCTGGGTTCCACCCCTGGTCAGGGAACTAGATCCCACATGCCACAATTAAGAGTTCACACACCGCAACTAAAGATCCTGCATGCCACAACTAAGACCTGACGCAGCCAAATAAATAAAAAAGTAAATATTTTTTAAAAAATCAACAACCCCCCCCCAGAATCTTGAAGAGCTATTTGCACACCCACATCCATTTCAGTATTATTCACAATAATCCAAATGTGGAAGCAACCTAAATGTCCACCAACAGATGAATGGATAAACAAAATATGGTATATACATACAATGGAATATTATTCCACCTTACAAAAGAAGGAAATCCTGGCATACGCTACAACACAGACCTACCTTGAGGATATTATGTTATGTAAATAAGCCAACCACAAAAACACAAATGCTGCATGATTCCACTTATATGAGTTATCTAAAGTAGTCAAATTCATAGAAACAGAAAGTAGAATGGTGCTTACCAGGGGCTGGGGGGAAGGGAAACAGGGAGTAGTTTAATCAGCATAGTTTCAGTCATGCAAGATGAAAAAGCTGTAGAGATCTATTTTACAACAATGTGCATTTATTTGACAAGATTGTATTGTACACCTAAAAAATAAGAGGGTAAGTTTATGTTATGTGTTTTTTACCCACACACAAACAAAAAAAAAACGCTTTGTCTAGGAACCTCCTCAGATGCTGCTCTGAGTAATATTCCTCAAGCAGTATCCTCCAGCCAGGCCCCAGGAGACTTATTTTCCAAGTTTCTTCTAGAAAAGGAATGTAAAACTGAGTTTTCTGGGTACTTCAAGAGCCAGAATGATGGAAGAGAAACCATCCTGACCTCAGGGAGTCAGGCAGGGCAGTATGGGGAGCTGTATTTGCAAGTACGGACACGACAGCCCAAGGTACACACTGCTGGGGTGGGGAGGAAGCTGCCCTGAGGAGGGGAAGAGCTGGGGCCAAGAGCCACTCTACAGACTGGTGTGCGGCCTGGAAGCAGAGGAGGGTCACCAGGACAACTGGAAAAGCCCCCGCAGCAGTGGAAAGGCAATGTGAGCAGCTGGGACTCTTAGAGAGGGAGCCTTTAGTTCTGGGAATGACACTGCTAGAATGAATGGGACTCAAGAGTCCAACAAGGGCTACACACCATTTTAAAATGCCAACACTGGTAAATTGCTTGATATTTAATCCTCAAGAGGGTCAAAGTTAATCACCATTTTTGACTCCTTTGAGACAGACCTTAAAGTTGAACCCTTTGACACTGTAGGTTTTCAAATTTTTAGGTCTTACTACAGGGAAAAAAAAAAGTATATATATATACACACACACACACACACACACACACATATATATATATATACACACACACACACACACACTTTTTTCTGTAGTATATATATACATATATATTATATATAATTTTTAAACTATGGCACTATAGAAAACATGACTTAAATGCCTTCCAAAGTAGGTTGGGAAAGGAGGAATATTTCATGTATACCAGATGCTCAGCCCGGCCTACCCCCTTGACTCCATGACAGGAGGGCACCCCCAACTGCCACCCATGATTAGTGCTTACATCACGAGGAAGCCATATCTTGGGAAAGTCAAACTGTCCAAAGCGCTCACCGGAATAACACCACCCACACACTTCAGTCCTCGCGATATGGGAAAGTGACTTTGAACAAGTCAAGGAATCATACACTTGACATTTCTAGAAATTACTAGGTAATTTGCTATTTAATCCTGTATCCGGGAAGCCTTTGAAATAGAGTCACTCTAATGCTTGAGACCCTAACTCAGTTACTCTTCAAAAGAAAAAGGGGTAAGCTAGAGAGGGAAACATGAAGAGTTACCAGTAAGTGCCGGAGCCCAGCATTTCCCACCCTTGAGGAACATACCCCCCTTAAAGGAGAAGAAAAATTGCCCAGCTCTCTGGTGTCCACTTGTTACTCAAGTAAGTACAAAACCTGAAGCTGAGGAGACTTATGCTAATACTTATTATACTGATGTAAAAAACAAAACAAAATTACAAGTTCAAACAAAATCACAACTAAAAACCATTCAAATTAAAGTCATTAATTTTATGTGATAAATGATATTGTGTTGCTACACTGAATTCTGCCCACCTGACTATGGTGCCGACCGCAGGACGCAGGTTCTTTGAGTTCACCTTATTTCCTTCTACCAACTTCCACACCATTTTTTTTCTTTTTTGTTTGTACTATCATCAGGGAACAGTTCTGGTGGAGCTGCTTGCGTCACCTCTGCTGTAAACGCAAACTTGGAAGCTGAGATGACATGGCAGTACTGGATTATAAGGTAGTCATTCAAACCATCAGGAATGTTATATGATAATTCGTGTAGGTTAGCATCAAAGCTGAACATTCAAAATTAGAAGATGTCCCAGAATACATCTTTGTGTCTTAAATATTTTGACAAAAACTCCCAAAGCCTAAACATGAGGCTCTTAACTTTTTTTTTTTTTGCGTTACGTGGGCCTCTCACTGTTGTGGCCTCTCCCGTTGCGGAGCACAGGCTCCGGACGCGCAGGCTCAGCGGCCATGGCTCACGGGCCCAGCCGCTCCGCGGCATGTGGGATCTTCCCGGACCGGGGCACGAACCTGTGTCCCCTGCATCGGCAGGCGGACTCTCAACCACTGCACCACCAGGGAAGCCCGAGGCTCTTAACTTTTTTGTACCACAGCTCCCTTTGGTGGTCTGGTGAAGCCTCAGAATAATATTTTGCATAAAAAATGATAGGATTGCAAAGGAAACCAATTATATTGACATTTGGTTATCAACATATTAAAAAATGAAAATGTGGTATTGATATATGCTTCTTTATGAATATATTATTCACAGGATCTAGTGGCAGATTTGGTAACTCATAATTTCTAGGTAGTGATAAATGTAATTGATAGTTTGTGATATCTTCAATAACTGTAAAGTGGTATTAAAAAGTGCTATAGGGCTTCCCTGGTGGCGCAGTGGTTGAGAGTCCGCCTGCCGATGCAGGGGACACAGGTTTGTGCCCTGGTCCGGGAAGATCCCACATGCCACGGAGCAGCTGGGCCCGTGAGCCATGGCCGCTGGGCCTGCACGTCCGGAGCCTGTGCTCCGCAACGGGAGAGAAAAAAAAAGAGAAAGCCCCAAAAAAAGCAAAAAAAAAAAAAAAAAAAAAAAAAAAAGTGCTGTATACATTACCAAATGTAAAATAGATAGCTAGTGGGAAGCAATCGCATAGCACAGGGAGATCAGCTCTGTGTTTTGTGACCACCTAGAGGGGTGGAATAGGGAGGGTGGGAGGGAGACGCAAGAGGGAGGAGATATGGGGATATATGTATATGTATAGCTGATTCACTTTGTTATAAAGCAGAAACTAACGCACCATTGTAAAGCAATTATACTCCAATAAAGATGTTAAAAACTAAAATAAAGTGAGACCTCTTGGAAAGTTAAAAAAAAAAAGTGGTATTAAAAATATCTGTGGGCTTCCCTGGTGGCACAGTGGTTGAGAGTCCGCCTGCTGATGCAGGGGACACGGGTTCGTGCCCCCGTCTGGGAAGATCCCACATGCCGCGGAGCGGCTGGGCCTGTGAGCCATGGCCACTGACCCTGCGCGTCCGGAGCCTGTGCTCCGCAACGGGAGAGGCCACAACAGTGAGAGGCCCGCGTACCGCAAAAATAAATAAATAAATAAATAAATAAATAAATATATATATATATATATCTGTGATTTCTATAAATGACAAAGTCACCAATTTTACTAATATTTCATAAAACTATGAATTTATAATATTTTATATATCTCAGAAGAAGTTAGAGAAAATAAAGATGTAACTTTCCCTCAAGTTCTTGAATTCTGTCCACAGACCTCTAAGGGGTCCCAAGGACCCCAGTCAAGGACCCTTGCTCTAAATCTTACCCAAATAAAATGGTTACAATTATGCACACATATTCAAGATTCACTGCAGGCTTAGATGATTAAGGAGCTGCCCAGGTACATGGATTATCCATCTCTCTCCCTTCACAGAGCAACTGGCCAGGACCCAAACCCAGCAGACCTCTGAACCTCTGTGGCACCATACCATGAGAAGCTGGACTGTCCTGGCATGATGATGTTCTTACCTGGATCTTCTCCTTTCACCCTCTTCTCTTTAAAGATTCACTGCAGGGTGAGATGTGTATCCTCCCCTTAGCTCTCACGAACTCCTCCCTGGGAGGAGCCCCACATTCTATAGTGCACTTGTGTGGCTTCCAAGACAGCAGGAAAGGCCCTGAAGAGATTCTGCTAATCTCCTATGAGGAAGGGAGTAACCACACAGAGCACAAGGACCACCTTAGTCGTTAGGCAACTGGTCAAGAGGAAGTAGGGCCAGGAGACCTCCTGAGCAAGAGACACCCAACCAGTCACGTGGTTGCCCTCTCTACACACCCTCTGGCTGGGAAGGGCTGAAATGCCCTAGGATTGCTAGGCAATAGGAAAGAATTCACTGATGATGGTACCCGGAAGACTGTTACACCCTTGGTAGTCGGTGGCCTGTGGTATGTGTGTGTATGATGTGCCCCATCACTTCCCCTGGAGGTCTAGAAGGGGGCAGAAAGAGTCAAATTTCTAAAACAGCTTAAAGGGGCTTTTGGGTGTTCCAGCCAGGCTATGAAGGCTAGCGTTCACCACAGTATGTTGAAGGTGCCCCTCCCCTGGGGTGTCCCTCTTCTTCCCGTACTATTCTGACTTCCTGTCAAAATCTGCTCTCCATTCATGGTCAAGGCGCTAAAAGGGACTGGTAAACAAATCCATCATAAGAACCCAAGGGATAAGACTTCCCAGCTGCTCCCTGCAATGTGGAGAACGAGCACAGACTGAGAACCAAGCTCTCTGCATCAACCCCGGCTCAGCCTTTCAGTAGCTGTGTCGTGACAGCCCTCTCTGAGCCTCAGCCTCCGTTTCTGTAAAATGGAGCAGTAAAATCCATCAGAGAGTCACTAGGAGCGTCAAGCACGCAGGCAAACCTGAATCTAACCAGGAGGAGACCATCCGAAAATCCAAATTGAGGGACATTCTGCAAACGACTGATTCGAATGCTTCAAAATGTCAATGGCATGAAAGACCAAAGAGGGGGAAGAAAGGTGGGAGACTGTTTTAGATGAAAGCAGACTAAGAAGTCATGACAGCTAAACACAGGGCATGATCCTTGATTTGGTTCAAAAAAGAAAAAGTCAAAAGACATTATCCAGACAATTGGGAAAGTTTGAATATGGATTTAATACTGTTGTATTAATGTAAAACGGCTCAGGTTTGATTGTGGTACTGGGTTACAGAGCAGAATGCCCTTTTCCTTAGGAGATACATGCTGAAATATTTTGAGAGTGAAGTATTACGACGTCTGTAGTCTATCCTGAAATGATTCAGCAAAACTTATATATACAGAGAGATAAAGCAAATGTGGCAAAATGTGAAATGATGAATCTAGGTCTATGGGTGCTAACTGTACTATTTTTTACAACTTTCATGTAGGTTTGAACATTTTCAAAATAAAAGATAGGAGAAGAGGTATACAGACATCTCTTCACAGAGGGCCTGGCACAAGGAAATAGTTAATCAACTATGATTGTTTGACCTTTGCATCTACAAAGGGATGATTTCATAAACCAAAAGAATGACTATAGAAAATGGAATGACAGGCTCTGGCCCGGGATGGTGGCAGGACTCCGTGTGCTGGGGCCTTCCTGCTCTGCCTGCCCCTCAAGGGGTGATGACGGTGTCCCTGACACAGAGCGAGAGCTCCTCCTCTCACCTCTGGGAGGAGGACATCCTGGCTGGCCCAGCCCAGGCCATCGGCCGTGTTCACAGCCTGGCCTTGAGACTTCTCTGTGGAAGGTAAGAGATTAGAGCTGGAAAGGACACTTTTAATCCCAGGCTTGATGGCTCCAGCCTCCCAGGTGAGGAACTTGGAGAGCAGACGGTACCTTTGTGAGAATGAGAAAGAGGTGCTCCTTCCTCTGGGAGACCCAGCCCGTGTCCAGGCACTGGCCATCCAGTCGCACACAGCAGCCCTGATTAACCCCGTGTATGTAATATTAGCTTCCATTAATTGAATGCCAGGCATGTTCTGTGACTTATTTTGAAACCTCACAACTCTTCAGGACAGATGTTATTTTGCTCATTTCAATTGTGGGGGAAAAGGCTCAGAGGCTTGTTCACTTGGCCCAGCTAGTAAGTGTCTGAGCAAGAGAGCAAGCATCTGAATCTAGGACTACTGAGCTCTCATCCCACTGCCGCTCCCCAGCCTTCTGTTTGTGCAGAGTTTTATGCCGTGTCGAACTCCGTTCCTCGTGTGGTCTGCAAGTCCCCATAACTCCACAAGGTAGAGGAGGTAACAAGTGAGGAAACTGAGAGAGAGGGGACTTGCTCCAGATCATCAGAGGCACGTGGCACAGTCTGGAATGTAGGAATCGGGTCACTCTGTGTCCTTAAGGGACTCCCTCCCAAATAACCATTGGAGGCTGTGACCCACCTCCTCCGGAAGCCTGAATGGGTTAGGAACAAATGAACACGGCCCCCTTTCACCTCTGCTTTAGGGAAGCCATTTGACTGTTGAAAGTTCCTCCCTTTGGGGAATTCACATGGTCACACTTTGACTCCCAGGCTCCTCTCTCAGTTTTACTTTTCATGACATCTGTCTCTCACCTATGTTCCTGCCAGCCTGCATGGCACCCCTTCCCTCCTATATCTCAGCAAGCCCAGGACCCAGCTCTGCCTCAGCTGCTTCCTCCATCTCCCAAACCTGTGCTATTGTTTCCTTAGTGGAACATCTCTCCTTCCTTCCAGGCTTCTCCTTTTACGAAGCAATATGCTAACCACCAGATAGATGTTCACTGTGATTCTTGATTTCTCTTCCTACAGAAGTTCTTCTTCCTCTATTCCCCTTGCTGCCCATCTATCCATCCATGTACTTCCTCATCCATCCATCCATCCATCCAACTACTTATCCATTTAGCCATTCATCCTCCCATTCATGTATGTACACACACACACTTACTCACACATCTATCCATCCATCCATCCATGTATTCATCCATCTAATCATCTGACTTTCCACTTATTCAACCTTTATTGAGCACCTACTATGTGCTACAAATACAAAGAGAAACAAAGTCTGGCCCTTGTCTTTGGGAAACTCCCGGCCTATAGGGCAGGGGTAGACAAGTATCACCATGGGTTGAAAGCTCTCCTAGAAGTATGCATTAGGGACCATGGGATTTCAGAGGAGGAAGGGGCTAACTGGCCAGTGGCTGAGAAAAGCCTCAGGGAGGGCCAGGCATCTGAGCTGTGACTCTGAGTCCCCTTCTTTGTTCTCTTCCTCCTCTGTGCCCATCGCTCCCCCAGTCCTCCATCTATTCATTTTGTTATCTGTATGTGCTTGGGCTGAGGGCAGTCTCAGTGGATTAAAATCGAAGACTCCGCCCCCAAAGTTGCACAGGTGCTGGCTTTTCCCTCCTGGCTTTCCTGCTTTAGTTAGGCCAGTCTTCTGTTTCATCTGTCAGAGCAGGTCTCTTTTTATTGCTGGACACTTGCACCCAGGCACCACACCCCCCACCTTTCAGGGGATGAGCCTGCCACTGAATCCAGCAGTTTCTGTAGAAGAGGCTCATTATAGCTCCTCTCACTGGGAGGCAGGGAGGGGTGTGTGTGTGAGGGAGGCATGCCTGGACTTCCAGGGATCAGCTGGCGCCCAGTTTGGCTTAGCTCCTCAACCGGAAAGCCTTGCCCCATTCCCCCCACCCCTGCCTAGCCAAACCCACTGTTCTTGGGCCTTCCTCCAGGGAGCCTGTGGCCCTCAGCAGCACTCAGGGGCCAGCCTGGACCCCAGCTCCCATGGACTCCCCTGTTCTGATGGCCCCTCTGGTCACAGTGCCTGGACTCTTGGGACTCTGCTGGGGCTCTGGTGGGGGTTTTAGGGGCAGCTCAACTCGCCAGGGCTGCAGATGCAGAAATGATCCAGTGGATAGTTGATGACTTCCTGCCCCCTGGGCTGCTGTGAGATTGAAACCTGGCTCCCTCTAGCTGCAAACAGTCACTGAAGTAGTGGCCCAGCAGGTCTGGGGGCACCGCAGGGCCAGTGGTAGGAGTAATACAACAGCTTCCTCCTTCCTGAGCTCCTCAAGCCCCTCATGATTTTCTGTCCCCCAAGCCCCACCCAAAGGCTGAGGCTGGCAAAGCTTTCCTGCTGGAGGGTTGAGGGGCAGAAGAAGACCTGGCGTGACCTTGGTTCTCCTTATCTCCTCACAATGGCACAATCAGGACTAATGCTCTGATTCTCTTTGTTTCTGTGCGGACTCCTGTGCAGAGGGGTCCAGGACCAGGCAGTATGAAGAGCTCAGTAGGGGGATTCTGCAGAACACCTGGTGCTCCTGGGCATGAAGATCCCTAGAAGCTCCCTTTAGGGGAATTTTGCTTCCCTCTCAGGCTGCCTCTGGCATTTAAGTCCAGCTGGATGATAATGTTGGGAGGAAGCCTAGACTGTATCCCCTGGGAAGTCTGGGGCTCCAGCAGCCAGACTCAATTTTGGGGTGAATCTGCTCTCAGCTGAAAGGATGTGAGCCTATGAGAGATGGGAGCTAAGCTAAGGTGATCACCAATATCCACCCAATTAATGACAGTGACACAAACCAAAGATAATCAAAACCTGCAGTGAGTTGGGTAAACTGCAAAGAAAACATCCTGAAAATGACAGTATGGGCATTTGGGCATGATGATGGTACATGTCTTCCAAAGCCCAAAAAAAGAGCAGGGTCAGCAGTCCTGCTATAAAACCAAGGAATGGCCATGGGGAAGAGTTTAGTTCAAGATCCCCCAGACATCTAGAGGCTCTTGCTAGGCCAACAGCTGTTTTCTGTTTGTTGAAAAGGTCGTTATGTCAACAGAACCTATGGGACCAGTGCCCGTAAGCTGGAGTAGCCAAATTGAGTCTGTGAGGCAGCCGGGGAGGTGCCCTGCTCACATCTCCTTTCAAGAGAACCTGCTGTGAGAAGTGTTATTGGCGGATAGTCCCCAGCCGTTGCACCTTTCAGTCTGCTTCAATGTTCATGTCCCCCCATTTCTGTCCAGTGGAGGACTCCTCCAATAGGCAACCTTTGCCGCTAGCCTTGCTGAGATTTTTAGAGCTGCACTGTAATCTGAGACTCTTCCCACCCAATTCTTCCTTCCCGCTCTCCTTTCACAAGTGTCAGGAGACACTTCCTGCCTATTCCTGCTCCCTTCTCCCTTTATCCTTCACAGCTGTTTTCTCCTATAAATCTATTTTATTTTATTTTGGGGTGCGTTGGGTCTTCGTTGCAGTCTTAACCACTGCGCCACCAGGGAAGCCCCTCTTCTGTAAATCTCTTGCACGTCTAATTCTGCCTTGGCATCTGCTTCTTGGAAGACCCGACTGAACATCTACTATATTCATGGTCTAGGGCTTCCCTGGTGGCACAGTGGTCGAGAATCCGCCTGCCAATGCAGGGGACACGGGTTCGATCCCTGGTCCAGGAAGATCCCACATGCCACGGAGCAACTAAGCCCGTGAGCCACAACTACTGAGCCTGCGTGCCACAACTACTGAAGCCCACGCACCTAGAGCCCGTGCTCCACAATAATAGAAGCCACCGCAATAAGAAGCCTGCGCACTATAACGAAGACTGGTCCCCACTCGCCGCAACTAGAGAAAGCCCACGCACAGCAATGAAGACCCAACACAGCCAAACATAAATAAATTAAATAAAATTTTAAAAAAAGAAACAGAAATACTATATTCATGGTCTGGATCTACTGGAAAGTAGATTCTCAGGGTGGGCAAATCTGGGGAATTTTATAATAGCTGGAGAGGTCTGTGGAGTGTTGGGAAAGAGGGTTGGAGAAGGACACCAAAATTAGAGAAAATGAACAAGATGCTTATCAGCAAATGCAATGAGCTGGATAATTCGTGATGCATTCGACGGAGCTGGATTTTCATCTCAATGCCACCACCTCTTTGGACAAGTCATTTAGGATTACTTTCTTCATCTATAAAATGGGAATACTTTTACTTACCTTGCTGGGCTGTTGTAAGAAGGAAGAGGATGATGCATGTAAAGCACTTCACAGCACGGCTGGCACAGGTGCTCTCAATTCAGAGTACCTATCGTTAATTCTTATTTCCCTTTAGGAAGAGAAAGAATTTCTCTCCTCTCGTTTGAAGCCAGGCAGGGACTGGTTCGATAAATAAAAGCACTGGATCCATCCTGGGAGGGGGCCCGCAGGCTTGGTCCCCTTTCAGCCTCTGGGAAAGGTGAGGGCTCTGTATTTGCCCAGAGGGCAGGTCAGCGACTCCATTTGGACCTTGTTGCTTCCTGCAGAGGGTCCGTGCGGTGGGTGTGGGACAGAGGTAGGAGGGGGAAGGGGAGGGGAAAGGACCTTAGAATCTAAGGGGAGGTGGTCTCTGGGTGGTAGCTTCAGACGCCTCGAAAGATGACCCAGAAGTGGAGCCTGGAGGTGGAGTCAGGACCCAGACCTGGAGGGCCGGGCCCCTCTGGGCTCCTCCCCTCTCCTTGTTCATCACCCTCAGCTGAGAGAAGTTAAGCTGCTAGCCTCATCCCCCTTGCCCAGGAGGACTCAGTTGTCTGGGGACTTCTTCAGAGTCACCAGGCAGTGGCGTAGGGCTTGGCTCCTGGGGATGAGGGCAGACCCAGTGAAAGGGAGAATCCCAAGAAGAAACAGCCCAGGCATCTAGTCCCGAGAATGCCCTTGCCCCGCTCCTGGTGACCCAGAGGCTGTCACACACCCCCAGCTCTGGCCCGGGTGCCCAGTGTAAGGCAAGCCCCACTAGGGTTAGCTGGACCCGCACAACTCTCTGCCACCTCCGTGGTAGCTTCTTTTAAGAAGTCCATTCTCCTGAAAGGAAAGGTAGATGACAAATTAAGTCCCTCAGGGGCTGATTCAAGGGAGAAGAACGACGGTAGGTTGCAGTTCACCTCAGGAGGCCCGCTCCCTCTTACCTCAGACCTTCCTCCCCACACCACAGGTGTCTGGTTCTGGCTGTCAGGGTGCTCTGTGGCCTGGCACCCTTTTCCGCCTGGCAGAGAGTAGCCAAGAAGCTAACCACATCAAGCACTTCATCTGTCTCCCACTCCTCCAGGGCAGGGACTGGTAAATGTCAGCTGAGCTGAATTGGGTTCTCTGCAAATGAAGGAATGAAAGAACTGCAGAGGGAGAATGTGTGCAAACACCCCTAAATCCACCCCCATTCACCCTTCTCACCCTTCATCTTCCTTAGCCTTCCCATTCCCTCTTCTCTCTCCCCTCACCTTCCATATCTCCCTCTCTCTCTCTCTCTTCTCTCTCTCTCTCTCTCTCTCTCTCTCTCTCTCTCTCTCTCTGTCACTCTCCACACACCCCCCATCCCCATAATTTGGGAGGCACACGGACCTGGGTTGCACCTGCTCCCATAATTGGGAGGCACACAGACCTGGGTGGGACTTCGGGCAGGATACTTAACTCTCTCTGTGCCAGTTTCCACGTCTGTAAAACAGGATGACACCTGTGGAACCGGGCTGTTGTGAGGTTGAAAGGAGATGAAGCAGACACAACAGCTGGGCTCCAGGCTGCAGGGCTTTGGGAAGGGGGACTGAGTAGCCGCTATGGGTCCGGAGTGGCAGTTCCCAGCAAAGGAGGAAGAAGCTGGGGGCGGGGTGGGGGTGGGAGGCTCCTGAGGGGCCAGAAGCTCAGAGAAGATCTGACTGGTTAGCAGAGGAAGTGGGTCATGGGTCAGAGAAGCCCTGCCCAGAGGAAGCTCCGCTCTCCAGTGCTGGGTGGATGCACTGTCCTGGCTTCTCCCTTGTCCCCACTGGTCTCTGAGGGATCAGGTGTTCAACTAGCATTTCAGAGAACACCTATTGAGCCAGCTGCTGGGATGGGCCCTTTAACTCATTTTGTCTTCATTCTCACAGCGATCTCCGTAAGATAGGCATTATTATTCCCACAATACAGAGGAGCACACGGAGGCTCCGAGAGATAGGCAGCTGGTGAGGAGTAGAGGTGGGACTTGATCGGTCCAGAAGACTCCAAGCACCGTGCCGTCTCTAATGCAGCAGGATGTACGCTTTGGTTCTGCTGGGTCATCGACCTCCTGCCAGCCCCCTGGGCTAGGTTCTGGGAATGTCACGTGAACAGGACAGACACGGTCTCAACTTCCCACAATTCACGTTCTTGGTGGGAGAGAGTGACAAGTAACTGGATAGATACAGCAGCGCATGGTACGTGCTATCTGAGGTGAAATCCCCAGGGCCAAATGTGAAATCCCAGGACCTGAGGATCAGGTCCTGTACAGGGGATCAGTTAAGGCCTCCTGGTGAGTCATGGCAGAGAAACATGAGTGACTATAGGAGCCCCCTCCCCCAAATTTGGGGAATATGGTTGGTTTACGCCTCCAAAGTCAGGCCAATAGCAAGGCTAGGTATAAGTGACATTGGCAAGGAGGCTCTTCCCGCCTCCGTCCCTCACCCCCTCGGGCACCACTTCTCACCACAGCCCCAGGTCCCTGAAGTACAGCAGTTCCCACTGGGAATGTATGAAATAGGACTAACAGAGAAAAGCCAGCTCTGACCTTGAATCTCTCCCATGGGCATGGCTGGCACAGCCTCCTATTCTCCATCTCCTGGTGGGTCTGGGATCTCTGGAGAGCAGTGGGGAACGGTCACACTGAGGCCTGCCCTCTACTACCCTGACTGTATTCCTCCCACATTGCCCACAACTTCCTCTGAATCTAAGTCAGCAAAAGACCGCCCCTCACTCAACCTTCTTGCCTTCCTTATAATTCTCAATGCCAGGAATAACCTCCCCTTGTTCGCACAATGATCCCCCTTTTCATCTGAGAGCCTCCTCAGTCAAGAAGTATTCCTGCCTAAGAGGAGGAATATTTCTTACTTAGCTTCAGGGAATAATGTGCTCTAGACCTGGAGCCATTCCTAATGGGGCTTGCCCTTTGGTGGCATCCCAGAAGCTGAGTCAGTGATCCGGTATGGCTTATGGGAAGCTCCCAAAGGCTCCATGGTATGACAATGGCCCACTGCAATAGCCCTAGCAAGTTACAGCTTGTCTTACCTTCTCTACCTTCAAGCTCCCTCTCCTGACCTGGGGAAAGAGACATCAGGGGGTCTTGGTGGACACACAGGAGCTCAAAGGGAGAATCAGAGATGTTGACTTTGTATACAAAATGGCTTTATTAAAAATTCAGCTATTAGGAAAACAAAGCCTTCTCAAAGGTTCCATCAAAAAAGTACAAATTTTAAATAAATGCATCAGAAAAGTGGCAGCCAGATACATAGGCCACAGTCACAATCCTGGGGGATGGGAGACAGTGCCCAGAGTCCCAAGAAGAGGCTGGGCACAGGGGTCTTTGGATGCTGCAGGGCCAGGTCCTGGAAGGCCCCTTTCAGTTTTCCTTTCCTTGGAAAAAAGGGAAAGAACCCGGCAAGTGTAGGAAATTCTAAGTCTGAAGCGGAAAGATACAAAAGTCATTTAAAAAAGGCACGACTGGGCTTCCCTGGTGGTGCAGTGGTTGAGAGTCCGTCTGCCTATTCAGGGGACACGGGTTCGTGCCCTGGTCAGGGAAGATCCCACATGCCGTGGAGCGGCTGGGCCCGTGAGCCATGGCCGCTGAGCCTGCGTGTCCGGAGCCTGTGCTCCGCAACGGGAGAGGCCGCACAGTGGGAGGCCCGCGTACCGCAAAAAAAAAAAAAAAAAAAAAGGCACGACTGCTGACTCCAGTCCTGAGGCACATGGAGTGGATGAACGGGTGATCAGAGCCACAGGGCCCCCGGCTGTGGTCATCTCCTGATTGGTGCCTCCTCTGGGTTTGGCTACAGGTTAAGTTAAGGTGGCTCAAGTGGACTGCACAACCCCTGCAGGCAGGGCCGTGGAGCCAGTCTTGAGAAGAGATGTGTTGCTACACTAGCAAACTGGTATCTAGCCCTGCCAGGGCAAGAAGGATCACACTGGCTCCCAAGAAATCCCCCTATGGAGAGCACCAGGCCATCTGTCCAACCCTGGCCTCTGAACCACTGTGTGCACCCACCCTGGACAAGGAACTTCCAAGGGCAATTCTTCCCACCTAGGCATCTGGAGAAGCCCCAGGCCCCAGAGCCAGGGTTTCTCTCTATGGCAACACAGAAGGTGGCATTGTCAAAACCAGTCCCCAACAACTGCTGGCCCACACCCATGGTCACTTATGACAGGCCTCCCTGGTGACGTTAGGCAGTGGGTAGGCAAAGAGGGAGAAGTCCAGGATATACTTAGGCAGCACGTCCTGCAGCAGGGCCCGTGGGGCACTGCACAGGTGGTAGTGCAGGCTTTCGGGGCTGGCCGGCCGGTACCAGGCCTGGCGAGCTGGGAATCGGACATGGGGTGGTGCCCGCACCCACTCCAGCACCTGGTTGGCATCTGCCTCCAGTCTCTCATAGGAGCCCACAAAGTCGTAGTGCACGGCACAAGGCTGGCACAAGTGGTACACGGGCATCCAATGCTCGTTCATGCGCTCAGGGTCCTCATCCACCAGGTATCTCAGGAACTCGGGGAAGGTGACATCGTCCCCCGCAGGGCTGGGCCCCGCTCCAGCCCTGTACCGCCTCACTATCTCAGCCCCATAGCGCTGCTGGTACTCTCGGATCTCGCCAAACTTGTTGCGGTAAGCAGAGAGAAGGCGTTCCAAGGGGTCCCGCACAAACAGGAACTTGAAGTAGTGCTGCAGGCGGTAGCGAATCTCATCAGGCCTTAGGTCTGCCAGGAACACCAGGTCGCTGCGGTGGTCCATCTTCAGGCGGACGTCCACGTTGTCCAGGACGCCCGCCAGCACCTTCAGCACCCGCTTCCAGTTCGAGCAGGCCACCTTGGGCACGTAGCAGTAGAGGAAGCGGTAGCGGTCATTCACGAGGATGTGGCGCAGCAGGGTGCGCCGCTGCCCCACCGGCAAGTCCCAGGGGTCCCGGGGCATGCCTGGTTGTCCGCACACTGCTCGCAAGGTCCGGTTACGGACGTCCTGCCTCACCTGTAAGTCCGAGTCCCCCGCATCCAGGGACAGCCTCCCAGGCCTGGGGACCGTCCCACGCCAGACCGCGTCCTCGCGGTTGGGAGGGTGCAGGGGAAGGGGCTTCATCTCGGCCAGGATGCCACGCTCGATCATGAGCAGCAGCCCGCTGGAGGCCACGATAACCGCGAACATCAGCATGGACGGCAGCAGCAGGGGCGGCCCGCCCAGCCCGGCCCGGGCCCTGCCCAGTGGGGCCCGCCTCAGCGCCCGGCCCAGGGGCTCGGCGCCATTTGGGGCCGCCAGCGGGGTCAGCGGGCGGGGGAACATCGTGCTCCCGGGGCGGGGGCCTGCGCGGGCCCGGCCGATCCGAGGGCTGCCCGGGAGGCGGGCTCGGGCTGGGGGCGGGCCCGAGGGCTTGGGCCCGCGGAGCCGGGATGCGGTAGGGGAGCGGAGCGCTGGCGGGAGGCCCCGGCGCGCGCGGGGGTAGCCGACTCCCGGGCTGCGGCACCGGAGCGGGCGGCGGGCAGCCGGCGGGCGCGGCGAGGGACCTGGGCCGGATGTCCCGCCCGGCCGCTCTCCGCCCCCGGCCCCGCCGTGACACAGGCGCGGGGGCGGGCCCAGGCCGGGGGCGTGGAGAGGGGCGGGTACCCCTGCAGCGAGGGGGCTGGGAGGGCGCGTGCGGACCCCCACCCTGGAGAGGGCGCCTGAGCCAGGGCCGTCCCGGTCCTCCGCGCTTCGGGTTCAGAAGCTGCCGAGGCCCCGAAGGCAGGAAAGACCCAGGCCGCGGTTCCCTCTCCCGCGCAGCGCGTGCCCTCAGGGAGCTGGAAGGAGAGGACCTGCACGCAACGCCCTGCCGCACACTCTGGCCCGGCCGAGCCCTTACTCCAACAGCGGGTCTGGAGGCAAGGGGCTTCCGCAGTGCTCTCCACCGACCCCCAACTTTGAGTCCCAAATTTCTGGAGGTCTTAATTGCTGTAAGCAGAGTCCCCAGTGTGCTCCCCCTACCCGCCGTGTCCTGGCCACTCCAATAAAGAGGAACTAGACGGTCAGGCACTGACAATGGCTCAGCTCTATGGTGACCCTTAGATTTAACAGTACCTAGTGGTTACAGTGTTTATCCACTGGTATGGCTTATGGGAATGCTGAAATGTCTGGAAATGGAATCTTCTCTCCTCTGTCTTCCCTCTTCAAGGCCTGAAGAGGTGGGACACTCTGGTGAGGGGCCAGTGACAAGTTGCTGCCACGTGACCACTGGTGTGGTCAGCACACATTTTGAAGGGTGAGGAGCTGGGGGCACAGAGCAGCAGCCTCCTTGCCTGGAGTCAGACGTGCTCACGGGCACCGGGCTGGCCATGTGGACTAGACAGACATGGGGAATGCCTCGGAAGTCAGTAGCCAGCCTTTACTGATCTGAACTGGGCACCTAGCTAAGTGTCCAGACTTCACCCTGTTACATGCGGGGAGCCCGTGAGGCTATGAAACAGTGTCCACATTATTGAGGCAGGTGTCATCTGTTGTATTCATTACCTTCTTTAGTGGTCACAGTCACCCGGGGTGGTAGGTACTATGCGCATCCCCGCTGCACAGCTGAGGAAACAGGCTCAGGGAAGCTGAGACTTTGTGTGAGTTGGTCTGATTCTAAATCCTAAATTCCTAATCACGATCCTTCAGAGATGAATGGAGCACAAACACGGAGGGAGAAAGCAGCTGACCCCAGAACACACTGTACTGAGGAGGTGATGGAACAGGAGAAGATGCCACAGGCTTTGAGTTTAGCGAGAATGGAGTTACCACTGATGAGAGGAATTCAGAGGATGAGGGCTCCTGAAGGATGAGATGAAGCTAAAAGACACGCATGGCCCGCCCAATCCTAGCAGTGTGAGCACAGCACATGCGCAAGGGGAAAGAATGGGAAACCTGGTGGCCTTCCAGCTCCTCAGGACAGGCTCCCTACTCTGTCTGAATGCTGGGGTGCATCTCAGGACACCATTCACTGATTTAGAAGTCTCCATCAGGGTTTAGCCCTCACCGAACTGCTCCTTGCTTCCAATAGCACTGAAGGTAGATTTCTGGTCATGGGATTATTTCCACTGAAATCTTTTATCTTTTAAACAGTAAATACGTCTTCTATACTAGGAGAGGAAAAAACAACTTTGAGAAAGTTTTTGGTAACTGCATCACATGTGCTCATTTCTCTGAGCAGTTTTCTGTGTTAGCACTCACAGTGAGGCAGTCTGAATACAGGAATGGCCACTTACTCTGGGGGAGTCCTTAGACAAAGTACTTGTCTCCACACCAGTTTCTCGTCTGTAAAATGATGGGATACTGCCCATCTCATGGGACTCTTGTGGACAGCACACTGATGGCAGTGCTGCAGTATGTCCACAATGGTGCCTGTGCCACTAACAAGCTCTATGGAAGTGCAGCTGCCCAGATGTCCTTACAAAATGCAGGAGCGGGTTGGGCAGCATATCTGCCTCCTAGGAACCCCGAGAGCCTTAGGTCCACCCCACCTTGAACACAGTCAACACTGAGGCTTTGGGGCTAGGGCTAGGTTGACTGAACCAAGCGTCCAGGCCGTCTGAGCCCTTGGCCTCATGATGCAGCCTTCAATTCCTCAGCAAGGAGTGCCAGTTGCAAGATACCAAGGCCCTCCAACAGTTTCTGCTGGCCAGTTCTCCAGGGGCATGATGCAAGGTGATGAGGCGGTATCTTCACCGCGCAACCACTTGGAGACCACTTCCCAAGGATTTCACTCAGCCCACCACGATGCGAAGAAGTCACCTCCACGTTCCCATTCCCTCTGTCTCCTCTCCTCCCGCTGTTTCCACGCACATTCCTGTGCTCTTTGCTTACTGACCTCAGTGAGCCCTTGCACTGCAGTGGTTAAGAGTGGTGAGCCCCTCTGCACCCACACACAAAAAGATGACACGACACACAGGAAATGGTCCTTTTCTAAATCAATACAATTTCTCAAATTTATTATTTTTTTTCTTAAAGAAGTACTTCTAATCTCTGTCAAAAGGGAGGTGAGGAAAGGTCCTCCCTCCCTTGTAAACACTGAAATACAGATCTGAGAAACCAGGGTCGACACACACAAAAAGTGCATTTTACAAAATATCAACTAAAATATATTTTACATGAATTATGCTTCCATTGAAATTCTACCAGCTGCATTTTCAGGTTCGAAAAAATATTTCCACATCTAAGAGATTTCAAAAGCATTTAAGTTGTGGGCAGTGGACCCTGCCTCCTGGGAGACGAGGGGCCTGATCTCCTGCTGGGTGAGGCTGGGCTCCTTGGCAGCAAGGGCCCAGCGCCCTGGGAAAGAGCAGGCTCCAAGGCTGGGTCTCCAGAGCCACCACGGCCCCACCCCACGGCCACTCTGCCAACCTCTCTTACTGCCCCGCCCTCCTGGACTGATGATGCCTTCCTCCAAACAGCTTATTCAATACAAGGGGACCCAAGTTCCTTCCCTTCAGGTTTGGGGTTGGGCTTCCCAAGTGTAAATTCACCTCTGAATGGTCCAGGCCTCACCCAAGCCCAATGACCAATCAGGAGCAGCCATCTGCTCAGGGACAGCACAGGGCTGGGGGATCGCTGGGAGTGCCCTCAGGATTCACTTCCACCTCCCGCCCAACTGTCCTCACCCAGTGCCACCTCCTCAGCCTGCAGGGTCTGTCTGCCCCTCCCTAGGGGAGGGGGACCCAGTGCTGCCTTTCTTGACTCCTGTCCCCAGGGTTGTGGCCTGTGGAATCACTCACGAGCATGTGCCCAGCGCCGGGCCCAAGCCACACTCCCTCTCCCTACCAGGCTCCTCTTTGGTACAAATAGGAAAGAACCAGACTGCTCCAGCTGCCACACGGAGTGCCCCAGGGCCAGGGCCTAGTTCTGGCAAGGATAGCAGGGGGCTGAGTCTCCTAATCTACTCTGGGGAGCAGCATGAGGTGAGAACAGGGCCCCTGGGCAACAGGAACAAACTGAAAATGCAGGTCCTTAGCTCCTAGAGTGAGAGGCTGCAGCTCAGCAGGTCTGTGGACTGATACAGTGTTGATTCTCGCTGGGATGTAAATTAGTGCAATCTACAAAAGACTAGGGTAAGAGGTGGCAGGGCAAGGGGAGCCACAGCACTCCTTTGGTTTGATTTCAGGTGGGTGTGGCTTGAAAAGTCATGTGTGAAGTTCTGCAAGAGGTTTCCTAAACCTCTAAGTGTAAGGCAAGAGGAAAAGTCTTCAATAAATCAGGTAGCAATTTTCCTTGCCCCCTGCCCCCACCCCCTCCCAGCTCCTTTCTGCTCTCCCAGACATGACAAACCCCATGTTGATCAGTTAATTTCTGGGAGGCCAGACCTGCTGGGTGGCCTTCACCAGGAGGTGGACAGGAAGCTGACTCCCACAAGGGGGCCACACCCATGACTGTGAGGGCTGGTAACTTGTCCCAGCACCAGGGGCTACTGCAGGGGCAAAGGAGGAATGCCAGAGAAAGGCCCCAAGTCCAGGAAGAGAAAGTCAATGTTCTGGGAGCCAGACTTTGGCTCCCTAGGCCTCAAAGGAATGAGCTCGGAGCTGTGCTAGAATCTGGGAGAGCCTGGTCCCAGGCTAATGGGGAAGCAGCGGGTCACAGTGGGTGAGGTAAAGCTGGCTCCCACTCCCCCCTGAAGGGCCCAGGGGAGGACAAAGAAGGGCCTGGTTCCTGAAGGACCTTCCCCCAATCCCCCCAGGGGCCATGCCCCTGAGGCTTGGCCCAGCCTCAGGGAAGACTGCTTCTTCAGGAGCCTCTGCCCAGGGGACCACAGAGAGGTGCCCTGGGCCAAGCTGAGGGCTCTGATGCTTTTCGTATACCCTGGCCTCCCCTTCCCTCCCATGGGGCCCAAATCCATAGGGGCCCCTGCCCTCCCCCCACAAGAGAACCACAGGCCAGCCACCTCAGGCTCCTGCGGCCCCTTAACCAAGTGCTGTGCTTCAAGCAGTGCCCCCTGCCCTGAGCCCCACTTGCCCGTGGGCAGCCCCAGTGTGGGCGTGAGGGGGCTACTGTGGGTTCTTGAGGATGCGGCCATGGCGGAAGTCATAGACATGGCGGCAAAGAAACACCAGCTCAGGGTCCGTGTCCTCGGGCACTGTGCGGTGTGGCGGGGTGGAGTAGTCCGCAGAGGGGGGCACCAGTGCTGTCTTTCGGCTGGGGAGACCCTCGCCTCGACGCTTGGCCATGGCACAGAATCTGCAGTGACACACCATTCGCTGTCTTTACCACAGCTATCTTAGCAGGAAGACCAATTCCTTCCCCACCCTGCCCAGAGGGCTGGGACACCCCCTCCCACCTCCACAAGGGCAGGTGCTGCCTCCATCCCTGTCCTGGGCCTATGCCCTCTCTGCCAACCATCTTCTCTGTCACTGGGGAACCACACCTACCAGGGCCTCCCTCCCAATCACCTGTCAATTCTCCTTGATTTTTTCTGAGAGCAGTACTCTAACTATCCCCGACTCTGCAACTCTGCCCCAATCACTCTGCCTCAGAGGGGGAACAATTTTTCTTTTCTTTTTTTTCCATAAAAATTACATGATGGAAG